AAGTCCCTGGCCCTGCCCGTGTTTCCCGGGTCTTTCCCCCAGATCCTGGGCTTCTGGCCACAGCAGCACCCCCAACGTCCCTTCCTGGAGGAAACCCAGTTTCTGTTAAAGGTGAAGTGAGTCCTGACATGCCTCTTGTCCTGCCATGATTATTAGTGGTGTCCCTTTTGTTCTCATTGTCCCAGAGTGGAAACAAAGTTATCTGGCCCCCCAGCCAAGGCAGTCTGGTGTCCTGCAGAGCCCTCAGTGTAAACCAAGCCATGCTTCTGATTCCCTCTGTAATTCTGGGCAAGTCACTCTCCTTTCTAGGCCTCAGTGTTCTCATTGTGAAGGGAAAGACTTGGATTGGCGGCTATCTAAGGTCCTACCCCCTTTGAAAGCTGATGCCTTTATGAGACGCCAAGAATTGTGGAAGGGCAGATTTGGGGTGAGCTGTTTAGCGTTAAGGATGGTGAGGCTCTGAGGACCCATTGCACCACATGGGGGAGAGCGGGAGTCAGCGGAGGTTTTCCGGTGCCTCGTGTGCACAGACTGTGCACGTGGGATGTCGCCTAAGGTCAGCCTTACATCTGTCGTGGAACTAGAGTATGAAAAATCATGAAGCATAATTATTTCCTTCCAGGTTGCCTGCCTATGACTTCAACTGGTGGTATTCTTTGTACTTCGTAACCTTCATCATCATCAATACCTACATCTTCATGTCCGTCTTTCTGGCCGTGGTCTACAACAATTACAGGAAGCACCTAAAGGTAACATGTGGGAGCCATGGGCAGGGGGCAGACGCTGGGGCTGGGCACAGCGGTGGGGAGTCTGGCGAGTGCATTCACTGAATATTTGGAAATGTCCTTGATCTGTTCACTTTGGTGGCTCTGAAGGCATGTTTGGTGGCTAGCTCCCTTCTGCTGAGCAGGGTGGTTCTGCATGGGTCTTCGTGGTGAGTCTGACAGCGTGTCTGAAGAGATGCTAAAGGGTGGAGGACTTAGCCAGGGCGCTGACCTCTTGTGGGCACTGTCAGTTCTGTGCTTTGCTCATTGCTCTTAATGCATCTATTGCTCATGGCTCCTTGAACTGTTTTGTGTGTGATTGGGAGTTGGGGGTATTCTCTGAGCTTCCAACTCCTCCGCTCCCACGGGCCCCAAACAAGCAGAAACTTCTTAAAGCCAACAGTTTCTGCCCTGGTTCCTGCCTGTTTGATTTATGTCTGGAGAATTCCTGGGAATCCCCTGGGACACCTCATCCATNTCCTGCCTGTTTGATTTATGTCTGGAGAATTCCTGGGAATCCCCTGGGACACCTCATCCATCTCATCCACCCTCCTGCCACTGACAACTCCCTGTGCACACCTCTGGATGGCTGTTACTTTTGTTGTAAAATTTGTTGCACAGAGAAACCTTTCATCAAAGGGTGATTTCCCTTAAAGAAAGAAGCAGCCTTCTGGCTTTTGACCTTGTAGTTCTGTGTTAAATTTTTCAGTGATTAGGGATGTTCACCGGGGGCAAGGGAAGAACTTCAGTGTCTGCAGCTGAGGAGAAGGGCGTGGTGAACCCACGTCTGAGATGTGGCAAGTCTGGCCTTTGAAGGTGTCTGGCTCTGTCCAGGTCCTGAGAAGTCTCTGTGCTGAGGGAACCTCAGCTCCTCCTGGCCCCGAGGCTGGGCGTCCTCTGGCCTCCCCCTCCCTCTGGTGGAAGAGGCCATTCCAGAGAGTCCAGTGCCCTGTCCTGTCTGTCACCGCTGCACACAGCTGTTGCTCTGCCTCCGCCTCCCCCAAGGAAGTGTTTCTTTGGTAACATCCTTTGGAAATTAATCCCTGCAATGTGCATCAGTCAGCAAATATCTCTTAAACGTGCTTTATGTGCCCAGCACCGTCCAAGATTCTAAGGTGTCAACAAGGATTAAGACACAGCCCTGGCTTTTGATGAATTTGCAGTCTAGCTGGGTAATCAATTGAGAGATGATGGTATTGGGTCACAGACTTACAGGAGCAGTAGGTGTGGGCATGGAGGCTAGGCAGCGGATTATAACCTGGGAAGGGCCCTTGAACCACCCCACTTCTGGAAGATTCCCTGTGGTCAGGCCAGATGGCAGCTCCAGACAGGCCCCAGCTGCCCTTCCTTCCCCAGACCACTGCTAGCCTAGTTTCACTTCCCTGGCTTTTCCCCTCCTCCTCTCTTTCTCTACTAACTCAGTGGCACAGCTGTCGTCCCCTCGTCCCCTCTCCATCAGTCTCTCTCTCTTCTCAGCAGCACACCCGATTTCCTTCCTTTCTGGAATCTCCCCTCCTCCTGGGTGGAGTGGAGTTTGGAGCTGTCTGCCTCCTGTCGCTCTGTTTCTCACCACACAGATTTTCCT